GAACTGAGCATGTGTGGGAGGCCATTTTGATAGCCATCTCTATATATAGAGGTGAAACAAACAATAGGTGCCATTTTGCCACCATGTGCAGCTAAGCACAACTTCCAGCCACTATGTGACCTATTTTATATCTTTATAGTCCTGACAAAGCTCTGTTTTCTGGAGCGAAACATGTAGAGTTTTTTTTTTTCTTTGGGTCTATCTTTGGGAGCACTTTTTGAATGCACATGGTATTCACTCCTCTCCCCCCCCTTTTTTGGATAGGTCTGTACTGCATTTTACAGTGCATCATTTGCATTCCTGAAGACAGTGAGGTATTTTTGTCTGGATATGGTGATGTATGGGGCTTGCCCATGAGAGGCTGACATTGTAAGCCCATGGATGAGTGTACCCATATTACATATCTGTAGAAAGATAGATTATACTGTCTAATTAGTTTTGTCCTTGGGGGTAACTCCATTTCCTTAATAGAGATTATATATTCAAGCTGATAAGCTTAGCATCAAACTACAGTGTCTCTTTTTATACCAACACTTCATCTAAAACGGTATGGTATTTGATTTGGTCTGGTGTTATAAACCATTTGGATGTAAGGTAAATAATTGCAATGGTATCCAGTCATATTGTTGTGCGCAGTACATTCCACTCCAACAGGCATTAATTACAGCTGAGCATGCATTTTTTATTTGAATAAAGGTTATATATTTTAGATTCATCAATTGGCCAGATGGTGCGTAGTGGAACACACCCTCCTCCAGTATAGATTTGTTATTTGCCAAAGATGATGATTTACAATTAGGGCTTAGTTCAAGGGCAGAAAGACAGATATATTAAATACACCCTGTGTATTCAGATGAAATGGCCTTTTTTTTGTGTGTATAGTATGCCCAGTGTCCACAAATGGTTAATCAGCTGGAGTAATTTTTCTTAGGAAGATTTAAATCAGATGACTGTTGTAAGCCCCATCTGCACTGTTGTGACTGCTATCATTACATGTATTAGCTCAATACAGATACCAGAATACAGTATTTTTCACAATAGTGGTTCTCTAATTCTTTTCAAGGATGCTATGCCATCTCAGTGGTTCCCTAATGGCTAAGTGTGATAACAGCCTATAAGGTAACTGCATCCCCTATAGCTCTACCAGTATGATTGCTGTTGACATATATCACCATTATTGTTGACTTGATCTGACCAGCTCACAAATGTATTCTTATCAAGAAAATAGTTAATTCAGAAGGCTTCACTCTTCACATGAGAATTCAATCAAACTTTTTTTTTATAAGAGACGAGAACAGTAAATTTGAATTGTATTTGGCAAGAGAAAAATATGGCTGCTTATTAGTCAGAAGCAATGAAATGGAGACAGCTTTAGGGACTCCATTAAACGTTCTAAGTTTAGTCAGACAATGTCCCTAGGTAAAGTGTTTTGTGCCAGAGAACAGTGCAGTGTGAAATAATTGGACGTGGGAAATCAACTGGGCTTCAGCAGCTTGATAGAGTCTCCTATTAGGTAAAATGGAAGAAAAAATAGGGAACATTTCATGTTAGTATAAAGGAAGCTCTGAAAGAAAGTAGGTTTCTCAGTGGATAGATTTACTGTCAACAACAATTTAAATGCTACAAAACAATTGCTGTAATTAAATTTCCTTTTAGCGTGAGAGTATTCATAACATGTTCTCTAATCCCTCTTGGTAATAAGTCTTTGCTTTAGTGTTAAGTCGATGTTGGTCTGTTTAATGCATAAATAACATTACACACATTGTCAGATTTATATGTTATTCCATTAGCTTTATGTATTTCAGGCTGGTTGTCGAAAATAATATTTATTATAAATCACTATGTTTGTGTCTGTTTGTATGATTAACATGTTTGCATTTTCTTTCTATTAAAAGTAGGGAAAAACATACTTGCTTTGAAAAATATATGTTAAAAAGGCAAAAAAAAGAGATGTGTCTATTTTGAAAAACTGACTTAGTCCCTTTGCACCAATGTAATAATAAGACCAGTTTTGGGTGATCTATCCATACCAAGTATTTGCTTTCCTAGTCTTAATTTATTCATTAGAGTTGATTAGAAGAATCAGTTTTGTGTTCTTGATTTACCTTACCCTTCCCATTGGAGTTAGAGGGTAGGCTGGTTATGAAGCTATGCCTGTATTGACAGGACAGTGGACGAGCTTGTAGGAACCCCATGCCTGAAACTGTTCCCTTGGCAGGTGCCTATCCTTATCATTAACTGATCAGGATACCACATCTAGACTGTAAATGTACTGTACGTGTTGATGCCATGGAGCAAAATCATTGTAGACCCTCTAGTAACTGAAATTCAGCATTAAAAATCCATCACTGAAATCATGAATATTTTTTATCAAATATTATATAATCAAAACTGTTGGTTACTGAATAGCTGAATAACAGTAAGCAGTTAGACTAATGATAAGTTTCTAGAGCAGTCGTAGAGTGAGCCATGGCTGTAGGTACGGCTTTGTAGTGCATACATATGAAATATTATTATACAGGATTTATATAGCGCCAACATGCACTTTACAAAAGGAAAGTAGACATAAACAGAATAAAATTTGGTACAAGAGGAAACAGAGGGCCCTGCTCTTTAGAGCTTATAATCTAAGAGGAAGGGTTGAGTGATACAGTACAAAAGGTAATAGCTGTGGGGGATGAGCTGATGGAAGAAATAAAAAGCGGTTTACTAGCTAGAAGCAGCATAGGCTTCTTTAAAGAGAATGGTTTTCGGGGATTGTCTAAATGTGGATAGATTAGAAGATAGTCTGACAGATTGGGGTAGGGAGTTCCATAGGATGGGAGAAGCTCGGGAGAAGTCCTGGAGGCGAGCATGGGAGGAAGTTACAAGGGAACTAGAGAGTAGAAGGTCTTGGAGGATTGAAGAGAGTGGTTTGGTTGATATTTTGAGACCAGGTTGGTGGAGTAGCTGGGGGCAGAGTTGAGGATGGTTTTATAAGTTGTTAGTATTTTGAATTTTATTTTTTGGATGGGTGGAAGCCAGTGGAGGGACTGGCAGAGAGGGGTAGCAGACACTGAATGGTTGATAAGCTGGATGAGCCTGGCAGAAGCATTCATGATGGACTGGAGGGGGGGGTAGCCTATGTAGAGGTAAGCCAATGAGGAGGGAGTTGCAGTAGTCAAGGCGAGAGATAACCAGAGAGTGAATTAGAAGCTTTGTGGCATCATCGGGTAAAAAGGAACACATTCTGGAGATGTTGCGGATGTTGAGGCATCATGACTTGGACAGGGATTGGATATGGGCCTGAAAGAATAGTTCTGAATCCAGGGTTACCCCTAGCACCCTGACATGTGGGATGGGTTGATAGTTTTATGATCTTGACCGAAAAATCAGGGGAAGTGGCACTTGGGGGAGGAAATATGAGCTCAATTTTGGATAAATTGAGTTTTAGGAAGTGGTGTGACATCCAGTCTGATATGTCTGTTAGTAAATTGGTGATACGTGAGGAAACTGATGGGTTCAGCTCGGGAGTAGACAGATAGAATTGTGTGTCATCAGCATAGAAATGGTATTGGAAACCATGGGACCCAAGCAGACCCAAAGAAGAAGTGTAGATCGAGAATAGGAGAGGTCCAAGGACATAGCCTTGGGGGACCCGGCAGTAAGGGGAGAAGGAGAGGAGGAAGCAGAGTTGTAAGTGACACTGAAGGTGCGGTGAGATAGGTAAGAGTCAATGCAATGGAGAGTACAGTCACAGAGGCCAAGTAAATAGAGTTTTTTGAGCAGGAGGTGGTGGTCAACTGTGTTAAAAGCAGCGGAGAGGTCCAAGAGTAACAGAATAATTACCATTGGTTTTAGCTGTTAGTAAGTCATTTGTGAGTTTTAGGAGAGCAGTTTCTGTGGAGTGTTCTGTGCAAAATCCAGACTGAAGGGGATTGAGAATGTTATTCTCAATGCGGTGGCAGCTCAGCTGGTTGTAGACTAGACATTCAAGGAGTTTGGAGGCAAAAGGGAGTAAGGAGATGGGTCTTAGATTGCTAAGATTGGTGGGGTACAGTGAGGCCTTTTTAAGTATGGGGGTGACTAGTGCATGTTTTAGAGAGTTGGAGAAGATTCCAGTAGAAAGGGAGAGATTGAAGATATGAGTTAAAGAGTGAAGGATAGAGCCAGATGGTGACAGCAGTATTTGCGAGGGAACAGGGTCCAGGGGACAGGTGGTTAGGTGGGCTTTAGAAAAAAGTTTACCAGCTTCCTCTATAGTAGCTGGGCTAAACAAGGGAAGTATTGATTGTGCAGGTGGACAAGGAGTGTAGGGTAAGGGAAATATCTGTATAGTGGAGATCTCGTCACAAATTGTATCAATCTTATTTTTGAAGTGTTTAGCTATCTCCTGGGCAGTGAGTGAGTTAGTGGGTGGAGGTAATGAAGGACGAAGTAGAGTCTTAACCTCCCTAGCGGTCTGATTATGTCCATATTTCTGTGCTCAAAGCAGTACATTTTTTTGCATGGAAATATGTATTTTTTTTATGGTAGGCCTGTAATTTTTAGAAATAACTCACTGAAATCTGTCCGAACAAGAGTCTAGTAAACATCATGGGTATGATAAAATTGGAAACACGAAAGCATAAATTATAATTTAATAAATAATCATAAATAATAATAATATAATAATAAATTTAATTCAATAATAGAACCAAACCAAAAACACTGAAATTTGAAATATAGCACCAAGTTTGCACATCACTGAGCAAAGTCGCAAAATCGTTTTCAGTGTCTGATGACGAATTTCCCCACGAATCATTATCACTCAATTCTGCAAGTGGTTCTGATTTACTATCGCTGTTCTCTAGCTGGTCTAAAACTGATTTTGACCTAAAGGGACACTTTTTGGACGCCATGGATGTTTCCCAGTTTCCAGGCAATAAGAACAGTAAAAATGTAGGCAGGGCACAGGACAAAGCACTAGGGACAAAATGTATGTGAAATGGTTTAGTACAGTAATGTTTTACTATGTGATTTTAGTGTATTTAGTGAATGTCACTTTTTGTCATTTTCAAATTTCCCGCCGTTCCGTCCCCCGTACGTCCCGATGCTCGCAGGGGATGGAACCCAGATGACAGATGCCGGCATCCGCCGGATTACATTGCTGGGGACACTGCAGGAGGGACATCGCGGGAGTGCAGGACAAGGTAAGTGAAGAACAGATGCTGGAGCAGCGCTGCATGGTAAGCCCGAGTGTAGCTCGGGGTTACCGCTTTTGGTACTGAAACTTTACCGTCAGTGAAGTTAAAGGTAGAAAAGAGTTGATGGGGGACTGCATAATAGGGTGTTAACAAGAGTAATCAAATAGGTCTGTTTGGCAGTGTGGAGACAGGAATTGTCTTTTTGAAGGGAAGATTTATATTGGTCAAAGTCCTGCTGGATCTTAGCCTTACGTCATAAACACTCAAGAGCATGGCTATATTTTTTTGAGGCATCTGGTATTGTCTGTTTGCCAGGGCTGTAGCGGTCGGGGCCTAATTCTGTGTGTAATGAGGGGGGCAATGTGTCCAGGGTAGATGACAGTGAACTGTTGTAGACAGAAGTGGCCAGGTTGGGGCAGGACGAGGCTAAGGTTTTGTCATAGATACAATACATTGCAGAAAAAAGAAGAGAAGGGTTAAGATAGCGAAAGTTTCTATGGATAACTGTTTTGTAGTTGGAAGACAAGGAAGAGGAAGCAAGGAGAGAGTGAAGCTAATAAGGCTGTGATCAGAGAGAGGAAAAGGAAAGTTGGTGAGGTTGCAAGGAGTGCCTAGGTAGGAGAATACAAGGTCGAGGCAGTCACCATTAGAGTGAGTAGAAGCATGTGTCCATTGTTTTAGGTCAAAAGAAGTGGTTAGGCTCAGAAGTTTAGAAGTAGCAGGAGTGTTAAGATTAACAGGGATGTTGAAGTCACCGAGAATGATTGTGGGAATTTCAGAAGAGAGAAAGTAAGGTAGCCAGGCAGAGAAGTCATCAAGGAAGCTTGATACCTGTCCAGGATAACAGATAACAGAAATTCTTAAAGAAACTGGAGAGAATGGACGAATACAGTGAACTTCAAATGAGGAGAGGGACAGAGAGGGAGTTGAATGAAGGATTTGAAAAGTGCTTTGAGGGGATAGGAGGACTCCAACTCCACCTCCTTTCCATCCACTAGGCCTGGGAGAGTGAGTCCAGAGGAGACCACCATAGGAGAGGGCAGCAGGAGAGGGAAAGTTAGATTTGTGAAGCCAGGTTTCCGTAATTGCAAGTAGGTTAAAGGAGTTTGTGATAAAAGGTCATGGACAGAGGTGAGTTTGTTACAGACAGAGTGAGCATTCCAAAGGGCACAGGCAAAGGGGAGGCTGGTTCTAGGAGGAAGAGGAATAGTAACCAGATTGTGTGGATTGCGGCCGCTGTTAGAGGATAGAGGGTGCCGGGTGTGTTGGTCAAAGGAAAAAGTTGGCGGCCCAGTATTTGGGGAAATGTCTCCAGACGAAGAAGCAGAATGGTGAGAGAAGTAATATAAGAGAATGATTTATATGGAGGGACAGGTTCCAGTGTCCTGGAGATTTTATTAGTATGTGGGTTCAGAATTAGTAGGAGTTGATGAGTGCAGTGAAAAAAGACAGGAGTGAGGGTGATATATATAAGCTGTGGGTTGGAGAAGAAGGGTGAAGGAGAGAGAGTTTGAAGAGAGAGGATACAACTGTAAGAAAGAGGAGTAGTAAGTGCATGTTATAGAATGGTGAGATGAAGATGCAGACTGGGTAAGAGATAAAAAAGCTTTACAGGGGAAACAGGTCACCTGTAGTCTGTTTAATATTTGGAGTTGTCTGCTGTAGCTTCATGCTTTTTCTCTGAAGTGCAGAACTGAAGTGCAATGCTCAATATTTAATCTAAGATTAATACTTTATCCAAGATTATAGTTGCCGATGCTACCCCTGGCTGTGCTGCTCCTGGCTGTGCCTCCCCTAAAGAAGGCCTACATTTATGCTGAGTTGGGTGGGGGTATTGCAAATTAATCAATTAGGAATGCACAGGAGAGACATGTGGCTAGCAGGGCAAACCTCTCACACCAAAGGAGGACTACAAGAGACAACAAGAGAGCAGGAGGGAAGAGATGTAAAGATTAGAATCAGCTCATAAATTTGGCTTAGACAATAAGAACAAAATAAACATCACAGTAATATGGACAGAGCTAAAGATTTTGGAAGCAGAAAACATTACCAATAAGAAAATTGATAGTAATGAATCAGCTTCAGTTAGAGGTGGAGTTTGAAAGTAATATAGATTACCACATAGCACAGCAGTGTCAATTAGCAGTCATACATGGCATGGGAGATAATACAGAAGGATATTGCTCACAGGCATTTACCATATAGCAGAGCAGTGATGTTCTTGTCAGGACAGTACAGAGGTTGTATATTATATGTCCACATTAATCCCATGATACGAGACGTTCTCCATACTCTTAACTGATGAAAGGAAAAAAAGAATAGTATTTTTTCTTGAGCATGATTGGATGATGAAAGTAGCAGAGCTTCACCCCATTTGCTAAGCCAAGGGAAAATTTCCTTTGTAAAGTGAAAATTCCCTTGCAAAGTGAACAGCCTATTCGCCTTTCATAAGGCCTCATATACACTACTGCTCCTAAATGTGAGTTTAGGAGTTTATGGTGTTTTTTTGCCAAAGCCCCTGAACTCAATTCAATAAAAGCCTATGTGTCCATGTACACATAGGCTTTTACCAGAGTTTAGGAGCAGCAGAGTTTAGGGGCAGTTAAACATTCCTCTTCTGAACGCAGAGTAATCGCGGTCAGGAGAGGGAAGTTTTGCCCAAAAAATGCTAAATGCTGCAAAACTCGTGTAAATTCGGGTAAACGTGGCTAAATGCTAGCCGCATTTAGTGCTTCGGTGTTTATCCATGTCAATAGAAAATACTCTGACCAATTAAATAAATAAATAAACGTCCAATCGCTAAACGTGGCTAAATGTGATACCACGTTTACACATGTTTTTGCCATATTTCGTGTTTTTCTGCTGTCAGGAAAGTTAACAGCTAGATGAGTTCATGTGTACATAAGGCCTGAATCAGCCTCATAATATTGTGTGCAGGTTAGTTAATGAGATATCCATCCCTACCTCATCCCTACCTCTATAAAATATGGTACCTCCATTTTTAGATCAGTACAACCTAAAACAAGTCTGTTCTTAGCCTGCTGCACCATTGTCCCATTTGTTTATTGGGCCGGTACTCATGCCACTCAACCTGGAACAAGAGGATAGAGCAAAAATAGATCTTCTGCACCACCCTCCTAAAAAACAACTGCATATTACCTACCCACCAAGTTTGGTGCTGCTCATGTTGTACATTATCATTTGAGTCACGGTTGTCCTAGGTTTCTTAGGAACTTATTGTTCACATATTGTCTAGACCTTGTCATGCTGGTGTATTTATAAAGACAGATATTAAGCATATTTTGAACCCTCTTAACCTCTTAAAGTGATACTAAACCCAAAACCAAAAATCTAATATATTGCAGGTTACCAATCATCAGATGTGGTGAATGCATTAGTGTTCTTTTTATGTTTTTTCCCTCTGTTGTTCACCTGGTGAGCTGGCCAGTGATACTCTTCCTATATTAGAGTGCCCATTCTCTGGATGAAGGAGTACAGGGATCACCTTTGGCCAACAGCATTGTGAGCCGGGGAGGGGGGGGGGGTGAAGTGTTAGATGTACTAGCAGATTTAGATACACCAAAAAAATAGAAGCCAAACTGCAGCAGTTACATAAGCAGGGGTTTTACCTGAATAAATAAAAGCTGGTTGTTCTAAGCACTTCTGTCAGTGGCAAATGGTTTGCCTCAACCCTCTAACGCCTACACTTACAGGAGAGCTTATTATGTTGAAAAACAACAGACTATTTGGCTGGATCACCAGGTGAAAACAAAGGAGGAAAGACTAAAAAGAAAACTAATGCAGCCAGTAAATCTAAGAATTGGTAAACTGCAATATAAATGTTTGCTTTTTGGTTTAATACCACATTAACTCTAACCTTTTATTCTTGCTGCTAGTTTCAAGTTTTCAGAGCAAAGAGATTTCCAATCCACTTCTTTCTAGCACTAAACCTCCATTACGTAAGCATATCCTGCTGTTTGCACATTTACCTAACTTTGGCCAGGATTCTCTGCATTGAGAACCTAATTTTGACCGAAGAGCTGTTTCATACCAGCAGCTGTGCTGAGCACATCAACTGCTGGTGTGCACTGAAGGGACACAATGATGGTGATTTATTAAAACTGGAGACTGCAAAATCAGGTGCAGCTATGCATGGTAGCTGTCTTGGAAATTCGCTTTAACGAATTTCTCCTTACCGTGAGTACTCGCAGTTGGATGCGCAGAAATCCCCCATAAAGCTGTGCGAATCTCGCTTACCACGACTGCAGCTAAACTACACGATTCCTACCCATCCAACTGGGTTAGCTCTGTTGAAATGTGGGTGACTGGAGCTCCGTTACCCAAGAATGATCAGGCGACACTCTCAGGATGATGTTTGAATTCACATAGAGGAAATTTTCATTCTCCCCTCTGGTTTTATTACAAATACACACACGCCCCCCACATGAATAAGGTCAATCCCCTCCCCCAGAACAATGCAATGGGGAGTGCCTATACACAGGACATTCCGATTGGAGCATAGCCTTTCCTATTATCTATCACTGGTCCTCCCCCATGAGCCTTCTGAGGTCAGTAGACTTCCTCCCCTTCCCCCCATGAGCCTTCTGAGGTCAGCAGACTTCCTCCCCTTCCCCCCATGAGCCCTCTATGGAGAGCATATTTCCCAGCTCCTAGCAGTATGTTCATTCTCTGTACAAGCATCCCCTAGGAACATCAGTCTGTACCTGGATGGGCCCGATACGATCTTTATTAAAACACATCCATCCAGATACAGTTCAGATTGGTAATGGGTTGTAAGATATGCATAAGCCTACACGCGGAGTTCGTACCGCTTGGCGCCTTGCGTTATGAAGTCCATGTGGTACTATGCTGCTGATATGTGGATACAGGCCCGCGGTCTACTGCCAGCGGCATTCGCATCGAATGCCGTGGTGGTATACACGCCGGTCTATAAGCGCAGATCTGCCATCTCATCCATTACCGAGCTGAGTACTGTAATACATACATTGTACATGCGCATGGCCCAATTGCAGCCTTCAGAGCTTTAATTAAGCCACACGAGAGACATATGAATAACACTCATATATGACACATTTAAAGTTCAACCAACAATACAAAATTTCCATGACAGTAGCCAATCATCGTCTAACTTCAGCTTGTTCAATTAAGCTTTGCCAAAAAAAAAAAAAAACTGACTGGTTTCAATGCAGAGCTGCACCAGATTTTGCACTCTCCGGTTTTAGTAAGTGAACCCCAATGCTTTTTTTCAGCGCACACCATTGCAATGCAGTGGTATGCACTGACACCATAGGAAACAAGGCTAGATGCTTTGTCTTTGTGTTGAGTCTCCCAACTCAAATAGTGTGAATGAGCCCTAAAAGGTATAGTGCTGGAATCTCTGGCTCTACAAAATAGTAGTAAATAAAGAGTCTTTGCCTTGTAGTTACATAAGAATTGTTACCCAAAACTCGAAATTGTGTTTTAAAGCATCCCTATGGTAATGTTACAGTGTCTCAATATGTTGCCTTAAATGCGTATTGGATTCTCAAGAATGCATAATGATCGTTATTTTAAAATATCAACATTTTGGATAACCTTAAACACATATTTTCTTTTTTCTAATAAGTGTTCACATTAATGAGGTACCATGTTACCTTACCAAATAAAATATGCATGTATATACACATATCACTGTTATTAAACACCATAAGCAAGTCCAGGAAATTGGTGTGGTTTATGCAATCCTAAGCTTAATTCTGAAGCTTGCTATGTAAAACGACCCCAGTGTTTCTAAAAATGCCTGTACATAAAACTGTAAATATGTTTTAATATCAACTCACACAGCATGAATATATTAGAAGCACAGGCAGTCATTATGTTTGTGTATCGTCTACCGCAGTCTCAAAATAGCTGTAGAATTTTCTTTTCATATGAACTGCTAACAAGAGCAATGTGCATTCTACATTCCATGGCATTTGAGGTTTCACTGTTTAATATACCAGCTTGCATGTGCAATCTATAAAGCATTTTTATGGAATTATTAGAATTAGCATTGAACATATGGCACTAAGAAGTATTTGTGTTAAAGTGCAAATGTGCACTGAGTAGATTCATTAGGTCAATTAATCATACATTGCCCTACATGCCCAAGACGGTAAACCACATTTTCACAGTTCTGAGTCAAATGACTGCCAGATGTGATTAATAAAAAGTGATTGAGAGTTGCAGGTATGATCAAAGCATTTTCCAAAAAAAATATATCATTTTTGCAACAAGTGAGGCTTATAGCCATTAGGCAATTCCAACAAGCTTGTGTTATAACTGGGCAGTGTAGGTGGTATCATTGACAATAACAGACAATCTGGTGAGTAAAAAGAAAGGATAAAGTGCAAAAGCTTTAACTGCTGCCTGTGACCATGTAGGGATGCAGTGTGCACTCTGATTTGGACTGAAAGTGTGCCAGTTGTCACTAGAATAGGAAAAGAGATATCTAACAGTGGGGACACTTGTTTGGTGATAAATGTTACTGCTACAGGAAAAAGCGGTAGAGGTATAATCTAGAAAACCCATAGTGGCTTTAACCATTCTCTGTTCTATTCCAAATTTAAAGAAACTAAATTAATAAACAATGTTTTGGCTTTACATATACTTTAAAAGTAGCTTGTAAAATTCCCATGGTTTCTCAATTGTTTTATGTTTACAATACTAGTTTTAATCTCAGTCAAGGTTATTTTAGTATAACATATATTTTTACACTATATGATATGTGTAAAAAAATCCGTATGTTGGGTATGAAAGCATGTTTTGTAAATGACATTGTATCTGTTGAAACTGTGATAAGTCTGCTCAAAAATTCATTGTTTGTACAAATGTAAGTTCATTTGACTATTTTCTAGGTGCCACCAGCTCGAAAGAGCACTTAGAGAGTAATCTCTAGCAGAATTAAGGAAGTAGGCATCACTGTTAGTATATTCAAACACACTCATTATTGTCTACCATCTGTTCTTGTATTAACTCCTTGCCACTGACAGTACGCAAATATGCTGCCTCTCGGCCGCTGGGTCTTGATGCCAAGAGACTGCATATTTGTGTACCCAATGTAAACAAACATGTGCCAAGACCGTGTGCCCTGTGCGCTCCCTTCACATTTACTGGTGACTCACAGAAAAGGCAAGTAGCGATCGGGAGCTTTATGATAATGCGTCCACTGTGACAGCCAGTCATGACAGTCACATGACTCTAAAGCCTGCCCCACTTCCTGGTGTCACAAACCCCTTAAAGGGTCCAAATGCGCCAGTGCCAAGTGGTTAATATTATTCTACAAATGTGAGTGTGCAACAGCTTGTTTGCATTCTTGCCAACAGCCGCATATTTACCCAGGTTATCCTAGGCTATCCTTAGCCTCCTAAAAGAGGTTTTACTTGAACATACCAATGCCCAGGGCATAATGCATGTCATTTGCTGGCTTTTTTTTATTATGGAGTTTGACCTGGGAATTTAGCTAAAAAGTTTTACAAGTATATCTGGAGTCAAATATTACCTCATTTGTTGTTTTAGATTTAATAAATCATTATTGGATGTAGCCAGGGCCTTTGTTTTGTCCGAGAAAAGGTTCAAGAACTCACCCCCCCACCCATAGGCCACACCTGTCTCTGCCCCTACATACCTCCTAGCACTGCCCCCTTTAGAGAACAGGGAACCAAATATAATTTGGAGGGGATATACAAGGTAATTTGTATGGAATGGAAAAACAATGCAGTACAATGTGCAAAACATTAGAAATATCTAACCCTTACCAAAGTAAGCTCAGACGCACTTCCAGATATTCCCATATTCAGCAAGAGACATTCCCCAAATCCAGCAAGAGACATCCCCAATATCCAGCAAGAGACAGCCCCAATATCCAGCAAAAGACAGTCCCCATATCCAGCAAAATACATCCCCCATATCTAGAAAGAAACATCCCTCATATCCATCAAGAGACAGTCCCCAATATTCGGCAAGAGGCAGCCCCATATCCAACAACAAACAGCCCCCATTTCCAGCAAGAGACATTCCCAATATCCAGCAAGAGACATCCACCATATCCAGCAAGAGACATCCCCTATAATCAGCAGGAGAATGTTCCCATATCCAGCAAGAAACATCCACCATATCTAGCAAGAGGCAGTCCCCATATCCAGCAGAAGTCATTCCCCATATCCAGCAAGAGACAGTCCCATATCCAGCAAGAGAAAACCTCCATATCCAGTAAGATATAGTCCCCAATATCCAGCAATAGAAAGTCCCCATATACAACAAGAGAAATTCCCCATATCCAGTAAGAGACAGTCCCTATATCCAGCAAGATAGAGCCCCCCATATCCAGCAAAAGACAGTCCCCATGTCCAGCAAGAGACAGCCCCCATGTCCAACAAAAGACAGTCCACAAATCCAGCAAGAGACAGTCCCTCTTATCCATCAAGAGACAGTCCCCCATATCCAGTAAAAGACATTCCCCATATCCAGAAAGAAACATTTCTCATATCCATCAAAAGACAGTCCCCAGTATCCTGCAAGAGACAGCCCCCATATCCAGCAAGAAACAGCCCACATTTCCAGTAAGAAACAGCTCCCATTTCCAGGAAGAAACAGCCCCCATTTCCAGCAAGAAACAGCCCCCATATCCAGCAAGAGACATCCCCCATATCCAGCAAGAGACATCCCCCATAATCAGCACGAGAATGCCCCCATATCCAGTAAGAGACAGCTCCATATCCAGCAAGAAACATCCACCATATCTAGCAAGAGGCAGTCTTCATATCCAGAAGTCAGTCCCCATATCCAGCAAGAGAAAACCTCCATATCCAGCAAGATATAGTCCCCATATCTAGGAATAGAAAGTCCCCATATACAACAAGAGAAATTTCCCATATCCAGCAAGAGAAACTCCCCATATCCAGCAAAAGACAGTCCCTATATCCCGCAAGAGACAGTCCCCTGTTATCCATCAAGAGACAGTCCCTCTTATCCAGCAAGACACATCCCCCATATCTAGAAGGATGCAGTCTCCAGTATCCAGCAAGAGACATCCCCCATATCAAGCAAGAGACAGTCCTCCATACCCAGCAAGACACATCTCCCATATCCAACAAGAGACAGTCACCATATTCA